TTTTATTATACACCAGATGTTTGTCAGCCATTGATGTTATCCCCTTTCATTAGTCAGTAGTGAACAAGCTGTATCTTAGCAGATAGAAATTTGCCAGTATGTTGGAGCCTCTAATTAAAACAAGTATTAGCTGGAGTTAGCTAAAGTTATTGTGTTTCAAGTGACATTTTTCTCTCACTCATATTTCTAGCAGACAAAGTGCAGGAAAGCATAATGCTTATTGACTGATCTTTTTATTTATAGTGGCTATTATGTTTTTTTGTTTCGTACTAAAAAAATGCAAATATGTAATCTTTCAAAAATGTTTAGTTTGGATTATGTCATACTGTAAAGGCAAAGACTAAGAAAAAAAAATAATGGAATGCGTTGGCCGGGAATCGAACCCGGGTCAACTGCTTGGAAGGCAGCTATGCTAACCACTATACCACCAACGCACGTCACAGTAAGAACGAACACAAAATCATAGATTTCTGAATGAAATGATCGGACGTGGCTGAACTACAAAAATAAAGAAATGGCTGCCTTTTTTTCATTATGATCACCATGCTCAAATCAACTGGGCCAACCGGCTTATGTCACGGTGTGCGAACGAAGAAATTTAGAACACGAAATCAAATCGAAACGTGCACATCGGTGTTTGAATCATTTATACAACATGACGTATACAAGGAACGATTCATATAAAACGCAACAAAACAAAAATGTTGCATACTGTGTTGCTTTAAAAATTGCATTGTTACATAGCTTATTCAGACCTCGTGGCGCAACGGTAGCGCGTCTGACTCCAGATCAGAAGGTTGCGTGTTCAAATCACGTCGGGGTCAGTCAGTTTTTTTATTTTTATTTTTATTTAATAATGACTTCGGATACAGATAATGCCTTCAGTGTACGCAGCTGGATTGCAAGAAATACAATAGAATCCACAAATATGCTGTTTTTTTTCCTTTATTGTTTTCTTGCATGTTCGAAATTTGCAACACAAATAACTTTTTTTTTAATTGTACCGTATGAATTGCGTCGATAGGCTACATTTTGTTGTAAAAATGATTATAATTCTGAATAAGACGGAGCTAAGTCCGTCCTTAAACATGGCGATTGCAACTGTAACTGCTAATGGTTAGCTTAGGCCAAAACAGTGAATGAGAATAATTTCACACTAAAATTGATAATACTCAATATTATACTTAATACTGTACTATTATACTTACAGTATAATCAACTGACTAGAGCAAGAAAAAAAAAAAAAAGAGGGCTCGTCCGGGATTTGAACCCGGGACCTCTCGCACCCTAAGCGAGAATCATACCCCTAGACCAACGAGCCACCGCATACTATCAATTGCCATTGCTGTGAATTTTCTTAGCACACCGATGAAGTTCTCATGAAGTGTATTTGCTTCATAAAATTCCTTCTTTCTTTGTAACTATTGTAAGACACCTGATAGCGTGTAGCTACAATATTTTAACCCGCTTTTACTGTAGTTTGGTTTTGTTAATCAGGAAATAAGTTTTCATCAGAAAACGAATTTTTATGTAGAAATGTTTAAAAACTGTCTCGAACAGAAGATTACATCCAGGTAAACACGAACCTCCCTAAATTTACAATTTAAAAGCTTTAACTGAGCAACATTTATCCGTAAACTGTCCTGAAACTTACTTGGTCTTCAGATAGCTAACTACTAAACATGTTAGCATGTTATGCTAATTGTAAACTCAATCGTTAAAAAAATGCTAATGCTACAAGCAATATATCCAATACTTACGTACTCAGTTTATCCGAGCTGCAGTCAGTAAGTTAGTTTTTTAAGTTTCTAGGCTGTTTGCCTGCGGGCACACCCAGCCTGCCTTTGTGATAAAATGTCCTACTCCTACTGGCCTAACCTGTCCAAAAGGTGATTGGGGAGTTTATACAGTACATTACTTAATGTCTTTGTGATCAGCATTGTTTCAAAACCTAAAACCACACCCTAAATTAAAACTGGAAGTCTAACATTGCTGATGGCTATCTTGTAATCAAAGCTTAGCTGATATCTGCTATATTATTAATTTATTTGTTTATTTACACACTAAAACTTGGTCACACAAAATGCTCTCCAGTGCTACTTTTTTGTTTCTTGCTTCCAACAGGTCACTCATAACTGCTAAATGGCATGTTTAATATATCCCTTTATGAGAAAGCAATGCCAACATACTCGTTTGATGAAAAAAAAACATATATGACAAAACTCTGCTGTAATGCTTTACCATTGACTATGAGCAGTGCATGTATAGCAGTGCTATTCAGCTAAATTGCTCAGAGGGCCCACAGTTACTGAAAGCCAAGAGCTCAGGGGATGGACATCCAGAAGTTATTGTCATTAAATAAGGTTGTTTTATGATTTAAAATCGAGTTTTATTTAAAAATTAACCCATTGGTGGGCCAAACTGAGCACACCCGTGGACCTTATTTGGCCCCCGGGCCACCAGTTGAATAGCCCTGATTTATATAGCCTCTGCTTTGATAGTAGGCAACTATCCTGATGCATGCTCAATAATCAATAATAATAATAAGTAGGCAACTATGTGCAGGACCTTTATGTTGCAGGTTTAGCAGAAGACTATAAGCCTCAACTTCTTTTTCAAGAAAAAAGTACATCTAGATTCATGTTCAAAAAATGATGGAAAATGGAATACAAGTCAAGTCAAATTTATTTACACAAGAATAGTAACACTTAAGATCTCTTAAAATCTATTAAAAATGTCAGCCCTGAACATTTTATTAGCCTGCATGTCATGTAGTCTTAAATGAGAAACATCAAACTAGGCTTCAAGATATTTAGTTAATTTTTAAAGTTAATTTTTTTTCCATAACTTTTTTTTTTTATTATTACAGTACTATTATGTGACGTCTAGAAAATAAGATATATTTCTCTTAACATTTTTTTTATGTGTGAGCATGTGTGTAAAGGCAGAGTAATAACTCATTTAAGTATATCTTAAGTTTGGTCAGCATGAGTGTATTGTGTTCAACATGACAGTGATAAGTACAGTAAATCATCAACGCTTACTAATAAGTACGAGTCAGCAAATTGTACCTCCTGCATACGGGTTCGTACGTGATGTCACGTGACCCAAACTCAGCCATCTTGTGGAAAAACGAAAAGAGAGAGCTAACACGCATACAAACCCTGAGCTGTCACAACTAGTCGAGGTAAGACAGCCAAAGTTTCATACACTAACCAGGAAAATACCTACATTTGGGTTAAGAGCCATATGATAGGGGCATGTTCTCAGGATCTGCGCTGTTTGGGAGTGTTGTTAAAACTAACCATGTTGACGCGGCCTCGCAACACCGGACTCCGGTGAGTCCGTGTGCCGGTCGGGTTGCGTGGAGTGCGGCAAGCTGCTGCTGTGGATCCAGGCTGCTCGGGAAGGCCGCGTGTAGCCGTTAGCTAATCCGTTAGCCAGCTAAGTACAAACGTTAATCGTATATATTTGTTTCTACCGGAACAGTTGTTACGTGAAACACATGATTTACAATAAAACACAAAAAAATACATATGTGACATTTTTATAGTGATTATATTGGATTAAAACGCTGTTTGATAGCTGAGGCGCTAGCCCAGAGATATGGGTGTCGTGTTGCAACAGCGTGCGGCTAAGGGGTACTTTAAACTCCAGTGCCTCGTATTCACCCTGTCCATACCGTACAGGCAGACCTTTGTTCCTTATAGGATATAATCAAACGAAAGACTTAAGTTTCTCGGTGAATGGTTTATGTTATTTTTCTGGTTAGTTCATTTTGTGGCACTGCAGTGTTGGCAAGTGATTTAACCTGTTTGAGTGGCCACAGATCCAGTCATGAGGTCAGCTTCAACCTGATGTTCAACACCACTATGTTGCACTGTGATTTGTTAAACGGTATATTAATGTTTACGTTGTGAAGCATCGACTGATCGTTTTATACCACAATCCTGAAAACTTTTGCTACAAATAAATCATTTTCTATGTTCTTTTTAAATCAAAGAGCATTACATTTGCCAAGATATTTACTGCTGTGGACCAGTTGGGTCGTTTTCAGGAAGCCATTGTGAAAACTCAATGTTTTGCTTTCAGTAAACAGAAAACTTGTCCAACACACAAGACGCTTGATGTAGTTCTGTAAAACGTGTCTGTATAAATTGTCTGAAGTAGGGCTTCACAGGCTTTCCAATGAACTGTGGATTTATAAACCCTCTGTAACTTTTTGTGTTAGAGATTTGAAGAAGTCTTGCCCCATAATAACAGAGTGCCATCTTATAGAGTTAGTATTTTTCTATTAACCTTTTTTATTTTTAGAGTATCTTATGTACTTAATGATATTTATTTTGTCAATTACAGGTGTCTGACATAGACTGCAGTTTGGGAGACTTCCTAAAATAGCTTTTAGCAGATTGAAATCTTATACGGTTTGTGTGCTAGTGGGATGGGCCGGTGTCTCTTAAGGGACTAAAATGCATAAAACCCTCTAACAAACCTATTATTTCTCTGTTAATAAATCCATCAAGTGTATGCAATGAACAAAAAAAACACTTATAGAAGCTGGTCTAGTATTTGGAAAGGCACACCCTTATTTCACACATATTTGAGATCATTTAGACTAGAGAGAAATATATCTAGACTTATCTCACTTTGTTCAGATGTTCAAAGGTTGTTTTGAAGAAGCTGAGCTAATTGTTGCATGTCATATGTATGAACAGACTGCAGAGGGGTTCTCTCTCCAATCTGACAACAAAGTAACAACTTTTTATTTGTGCAAGATAGAAATGTGATGCTAACCCTAATTTTTTCTTTTGCATCTTTGTAGAACTCCAGGAAAAAAAAATGGCCGAAACCCAGACGCTTAACTTTGGACCAGAATGGTAAATAAACTTGTATGATTGAATGATCAGTGTGGGAGACTTAACTTCTGAGAAGTTTTTCAGTTTGACCCTGGTGCAAGGTTTATGGCCTGTTCAGACATGCCACCTGCCTTCCCAGCTTTGGTTGTCATCTCTTGTTTCTCAGTTCATTTAGCTTGAAAACATTTTCTTTCTCTGCAGGCTCCGTGCTCTGTCTGGAGGTGGCAGCAGTGGAGTTGGTGGAAGCAGCAATGCTGTTGTTTCTCCACCCCTCTCACCTGCATTGCCAAAGTATAAACTTGCAGACTATCGCTACGGGAGAGAAGAGATGCTAGCACTTTATGTAAAGGATAACAGGGTGAGTTGGTTCTCAGTGTTTACACCATTGCTGCCAGTTTAGTTCATTTTTAAACATAAACAGTATTACTGTAGTTTCACCATGAGGTAGTTGTATATATATATATATATATATATATATATATATATATCTCTATAT